TATTCACATAGAACACAGCTGATTTAGATTCTAATAATATTTACTGTTTTTATGATCAAACAAATGCAGCACTGGTGAGCAGGAGAGACAAAAGAAATAAATATTTAGGAGCAAATCTGCAGCTGATCGCACGACTCTCACCTTTGATCCATTGGCGCTGATGTCTAAACTGTTGCAATAATTCTCACTGATGATCTTCGGTCCTGCAGGAGAGACGTTTATCAGTCAGTTCAGCTGCACATCTCGTATAATAATGCCTTGCTTTTGTGTGTTTCAGTCCTGCCACGATAGAAATCAGCCACTGTGTGCCTTTCTCTGAGAATGCACTCGTTTAGAGTTACTGAAACACAGCGCTCAGTCTGCTGGGATTCGATCTAGTCTGGATTTTATATACGCGTGTATCTATATATATATATATAAAGCTTCATGATCTGGAGACTTGTAATATTCACTCAAAATAAACTGTTTAGTAACTTCATCATAACGGAAGATTTAAATGGTAGATGTGTTCAAATAAACAGGCATTTTTACGTTTTAAGTGCACTGAACGAGAGTTGTGAAATGACACACTAGGTCTCTGAGGGTCTCGAATGAAACGTTAGGAGCTCGACAGCGAGCAGGTGAATGCTGGGAAAGTTACCTGACTACCTGACACACCGATGAGAGTGGAGACGCCGAAGCAGAAGAAGAAAACCACGAACACCAGAACGAAGTGAGAGAGTGTAAGAGTGTAGAGACGCATAGGGGCCAACCTGCAGCGCACACACACACACGCACACACACACGCACGCGCACACACACACACACACACACACACACACGAGTCAACATCACACGCAATACTGATTCATATCCACAGCACAATAACAGTTACAAACGTTTTTCAACGGTTACACATACATGTTTAATTCATATATATAGATGAATATAGATAGATATAATGTTGCAATTTATAAAAATATTTTTATTTTTAAAATCTATTTCAAAACATTATTTTAAAACTTTGTTTATTTAAACGGGGAGTCATCTCAATTATCACCAGTAAAGTATGGAGTGCCACAAGGATCTGTCCTAGGTACTCTGCTATTTTCAATATACATGTTGCCCCTTGGTAATATTATTAGAAAATACGGGAAAGGCCAGGGCGATAAAACGGTATCGATATTTATCGACGGTACACCTTCTTCGATAACGATATAAAAATGTTCGATATAGTGCATGATATACTGTAGGCACGTGCTCTGAGTAACGCAGACCGCACACAAACACAAACATGAGTGCTGTGCTGCCTGTGATGAAGAGATTGTGAGTAAAGAATGAATATGAGTCAAATTTAAAATAAACATTTGCATTTGAATGTTAGGAGTGCGTCAGGGAGCGTCATCAGTGGAGCGAGACGCGGTGATGATGATGTAAGTGTAGTTGCACGACTAGTTCATATTCATTCAAAACATTAGAGAAATATAGAAGCTCAACGCGGAGAAGATGTTGTTGCATTTTAATGTTTTGTTAGTCTAGCCCACGAGACGCGCCGCTGCTGTGCTATGCATTCAAAATATTAGAGAAATATAGAAGCTCAACGCGGAGAAGATCTTGATTAGGTGAAAACCCAAACCTAGCCATTCACACAGAACACATATTCAGCACATTTTTTAGACGGACAGACACGACTGCTGCACTATAAAAATAACTCCAATTAAATAGCTCTGTGTTTTAAAAAAGGTTATAAAAAATGTCAATAATTATTGATACCGAACGATATGAAACATTATAACGTTGATACATTTGAACTATATCGCCCAGCCCTAATACAGGATTAGTTTCCACTGTTATGCCGATGATACTCAACTATATATCTCAACAAGACCAGATGAAACTTCTAAATTATCTAAGCTAACGGAGTGTGTTAAAAATGTAAAAGAATGGATGACCAATAATTTTCTCCTATTAAATTCGGATAAGACAGAGATATTACTTATTGGACCAAAAGACAGTACACCGAATCTCGTGGATTACAATTTGCAACTAGA